TTTTTAAACAGCACAGAGAGAAGCAGGGAGAGCTGCAGATTTAAAGGTGAAACGAGTTTACTGGGATATTAAACATGCATTAAAATATATCTCCAAGTTTACAAGAAAACAATATGCAATATTTAAAATGAAGCATATCAACATTTTTCTGGATGGAATTGAAATTGTACATTCTAGAGCAGGTACATTGGAGATGATGGTGAGGTGCTTACATTTGGTTTCGTAGGTATATCTATGTGGGTGGGTGGTTATATCGTGAAAAAAAACACACAGGTTCCCTACACACGGAGTTAAGGAAGGATTAATGGTTGATGCTATTTTTATGCCAACGAACCACCAAGAAGCACAGAAAAACAACCTATTCAGCTATGTGAAATTGGAACAGATGCATCATGGGTAATGTGGTGCTAAACAAACGGACGGACTTTTAACACTAATATGAGCCAAATATATCGGCTGGCCATTGTATTGATCTATCCCCACATGACTGAAGATTTTTTTGGATCTTGAGGGCAGATTAACCGCGATAAGGGGGCCAGATTCAGCCCACGGTCCTCCAGTTTGACACCTGTGCTGTAATGGATGTCTTGCAGGATTTCCATAAATTTAGCTATAAGAATCTCATCATCAGGATCCTCACAGGATGACTTATTTTTATCCTAAAGGTCTTTAGCCCATTCTTCCACTTATTTGTCTGTTAGCATATTTTAATCCAGACATTTTCTGTCTTTCGTCCTCCTACTGTCCCTCCATAAAGACCGAATGCAGCAGTGAAGCTAGCAGTGTTTGTAACTCAGTTTATAAATTGTGCTTGAGCCTTCAGTATGCCCTGGGCAAGAAGAATGTGTTTAACAGTTAAAAATATCAGTAATGCATCTTGGATTTGTTAGGTTTATTATTTATACATCATGTCCATTGTTATTCTGTTAGCCAGATTAGACAGAGTAAAAGGCTTTCCTTCACATTGTGATGTCACTGTGTGTACTGAGGTCATCTAAATAGGACAGCCTTCTTGTCTTTTAAAGATACACAGGATATGGGCACATCTTGGAGCCGGTCTGATAGAGGAGAGCTATCTGTAATTCTTGGGCATAGAGGCAAGATGCATGAAGTTCAAGACATGGATGGCGTGTCAGGTTCTGATACGGACAGCTAAACATCCACATGATGCAACACATAGACCCATGAGCTATAAGAAGCAGGAGATGACCTTGTTCGGGGCTCAATCTTTGTCGGACGCTCGTGGACGTGATTTTTGAGCTCACAGGTGTGCAAGCTCAAAGCATTTTCTCTGTCCTGTAACGACCTGATCTGGAATAAACTTTTTTACTTTTTTGTTTCTATTTTACTCCTGTTTTTATATTCCTTTTTATATGGTTTTACCCAGTTTGAGTTAAGAGTAGTAAATAACTTGCTCCCCGGGAAAAGAACCGGTGGGGAAGCCCCAAGGCGCAACTGCCTATTTAGGGGACATATATTCCTCATTTAACAGATTGTATAGCACACATTTTGAATGGGAAATTAGTTGTTATTCTTTTTATTCTCAACACTGTAGATTTAGTTTATTTTATTTATCGCATCTTGATTTTAAGCCAGAAAGAGAAAAACAGCATGGGAGAATAATAAGTATTAATATGAAGGAAAACATGGGAAGCTGTCATCTTTTAGGAGGTGTCAGACTTTGATAACCATTCGTACTTTTAGCACTGAGTGATTAAACAGTTTCTTCTGCTCTGCAGCTCATCTTGGAGACCCTGTGGAAGCTTCTAGTGCCAGCTGTGGGGGGGTGGGATGGATCCTCTGGGTGCTCGCTCCCAGTTTGTGGATATCCAGACTCTTCCAGTGTGGCAGCAGCAGCTGAGTGAGGAGGCTGAGGAGACGCAGCTGGACCAGAGCGACAGCCTGTTCAGCCAGCAGCCCTTCCCTTCGCCCTTCCCCTACAGACCGGACATCAACCGCAAGATCATCCTCTTGTGAGTCACTAGTCTATTTCTTTATGCTGTCGCTGCAGAGGAGAAGGAGAAACGTTAATAGCATTACCATCCTGTTTGGCAGCTTCTGTATTTTTTAAGTGACAGATACACTGTTTTGCTTTTAGATAAATAGTTTGTTTAATATTAGTTCAATTTGTGGACTGAGGGGTCGTAGTGAGGAAGTAGTGTGTGAAGATCTAGAAGTGGTTTCCTTTTCTGGCCTCAGTTTAGATGTGGAGCCTAAAGGTACCAAGCAAAAGTATTTATCACCATGAGCTTTCCTACTTTACAAACACAAATGGTAATATGGGGTTATTTGGGGTCACATAACAAAATAAAGTGAGACATAATTATTGATTGGAAAGAAAATGAGGCTTGATATCAAAGTGCTTCTCTACAAAATATTTGTTTTCATGTTTTAGTTTAATACCCAGGAACGATCTCAGCTTAATCTTTAATTAATTTCAGTTTATTTACATAGCACCAATTAACAACACACTTCACCTCAAGACACTTTACATTCAACCAGATCATACAGTCGGATTGGTTCAAAGTTTTCTATTTAGGGTAAACCAGTTGATTGCATCGACTCATTGACTCAAAAACAATCCCCCACACTAAGCACGCTTGTAGTGACAGTGGAGAGGAAAAACTCCCTTTTAACAGGAAGAAACCTCCAGCAGAACCAAGCTCAGTGTGAGCGGCCATCTGCCGAAGCTTCAAGAAGACAATAGCAGACATGCAGAAAAAAGCAGAGATACAAAAGGAAACTGTCAACCAGCTCCACAGGCGGCATCCAGAAAACACACAGCCAGCAGACGAGCTCCGAGCCAGCTCCCATGTCAGAGGATAAAAGAGAGAACACTTAACCACAGGCGGAGAAACAGGACTACACTGAAAAACAGGCCAAGCTCCAACATCTGTAAACAAAGGTGTTGACGGCAGCAGGACAGCTGATATTTCTCTCCAGGATGGAGTCACAGCCAAACAGGTACAGACCAGATGAAGCTATTATGGTGAAGATTGAACTAACAAATACTTCGGAATGGGACAATATACATAAAATGAAGCAGAATGATGAAATGGGGGTCCCTATTTCATCCAGCAGTCTAATCCTAAAGCAGCATTACTATAGAGATAGCTCAGGATAACCTGAGCCACTCTAGCATTACCAAAAAGGAAAGTTTTAAGCCTAGCCTTAAAAGTAGACCGGGTGTCTGCCTCACGGACTAAAACTGGTAGTTGGTTCCACAGGAGAGGAGCCTGATAACTAAAAGATCTGCCTCCCATTCTATTTTTAGAATTTCTTGGAACCACTAGTAAACCTGCAGATTGAGAGCGAAGTGCTCTGTTAGGAACATAAGGAACAATCAGATCTCTGATATAAGATGGAGCTTGGCCATTTTAAGGCTTTATATGGGAGAAGGAGGATTTTAAATTCTATTCTGGATTTAACAGGAAGCCAATAAAGAGAAGCTAATTCTCTGCAGGCTGCAGCCAGTATCGTAGAAACCTGTAGAAGCTGCACCTGTTTCAGCTGTTAGATATAACTAACCTGAATCAAACGATTAGGTCAGCGGGGCTCTGGAGAACTCAGATGCCACTGAGGAGGTAATTAAGCTGTTAGTTACTCATGTATTGGACCAGGATGCCCGCCCTCAAGGACTTGAGTTTGACAATCCTGCTATAAATGATTCCCTGTTGGTCTGAAATAGTCCACTAAGCTATCAATTTAATTTTTTTATCATTCAACTAATCATGATATAGTTTCATGATCTCCATCTTTGCATTACGTTGTTAAAAATTACCCTAAAACCTAAAATGTGAGCATGTCTACGTCTTCAATTCACTTAGTTTAGGATGTCAGACTTATTCTTTTATATGAGGCAAAGTTTTCAGTGTCTTCAATATTCATTATCCAGATCACTTTTCCTCAGCTCTACTCAAAGATGCATAGCAACGTTACATACCTATACAGAAAAAATAATTTGTTGATGGTAAAATAAGCTTAGATACAACAAGCGTCCATTCTGATCTTTGAGCCTGAATAGAATTTCAGCAACAGGCGTAATGAGCCGACATAAAGCGATATGATGCCATCTGCTGGTAATACTGCGGAACTACCAGAAAGCCACATATTGACTTGGTAAGAACCAATCAATGAATCATCAATCTATCTATAATGTCATTTGAACGTAGGCTGTCTAGTATTGATAAGGATCTTTACTAACATGCATCGACTTAGCAGCTACATCTGAACACCTCTGTAGCTTTAGCTTCAGTGAACGCCAACTTTCAGAGAACTACTGGAGTCTTATCCCTCTTAAAATTAAAATATCTCATTTTTTTTCGTCACGCTTAATTTTGGACTTTTCTTAATTTTTTTCCCCCAGACTTTGCGAGGAGGTGCTAACTGGCTTAGCCACAGTAGGCTGCTTCCTTGTTTCAGTTGTTATTGTAAATATAAACAAAGGGATTTATTTACTAGAATACAGTTAAATACAGAACCTTCCTGATTCATTTTCTTATTAAATATCCTGATTGGTTTTATATTCAGGTGGATAATGTTTTCCATTTTGACTGATGCTCCTGCATGCATCCTGCAGTAAACAGCAGGCATGGGATCAGTCATGTGTGCACTTTGATCTTGTTTCATGATTAAGCTCTTTTCTCTCTAAAGTTATAGTTTAACTACTTGATTCCAGGTCCTTTGTGACTGATCACATAATGACAGACATTATGAAAGGCGGCTGATGGGATCAATTAGATGTTCTGAACAGTCTGAACTCGTCAGGATCGCTGATGATTGCTTTCAATCAGCGGGGCTACAAAGGTGCAAACTGTGTCATTATTTAGTAATTACTGCTAACATTTTCTGACGCTGTGAATTAAAACATGCTGTAGGATTTTTATGCTGAATTAAATGACAATAGCACATTTTAAAGGTGAACTAATTCATAGGAAAAGTAAATGTTTATTCTTTTGATCTTTTTTTCCCTATAGATTCCACAGTTCTCTGTAGAGCGCTGAATATCAATTATAGAAGATATGTTTTATTTATCGCTCAGTTTCTGACCTTTAATTATAAAGCTTTGATCTGAAGAATCTAACAATAACAACCATGTTTGGAATTACTCCAGAAAGTCTCCCAGTCATGAGCTATGTTTAATTTTACATTAGCAGGGAGGCTAATTTCACCCGGTGATTGAGCTGGACCGTCAATTGTATCTATAATATAACAAACATTTAAAGATGTTCTAATTCGTAGAGGTTTTCAATTTTTCTGTTATGTTTAAAGCAACAATGTGTAAATTTAGAGCATTCAGGTCATCTGCAGCATTTGGTGTGTTTTATTTTATTTTTATGTTTTTTTGTTCTTTGATGTTGGATTTAATTTAGATTTTTTTTTTATATATAAATTTTTAACCAGCTGCTCTAAATCGTTCTGCTATCAGATTCCAAAACACAGAAGGAGGCTGCTTCATTAAGCGACAGTGCAGGGCTTATGGCTCTCTAAATAGTTTATGCTCAGAAATCAGGTCGTCTGCGTGTGTCACAGTTATCGCAGATATGCCCCCGCCCCTCTGCAGACAGTCTGGTGCGACTCTCCAAAATTGTAGGTTACCACAAACAGTGATGTAGACAGGAGGCCTCTGATTGGTCAAATCTACATCCGCTCTACACTATGCGTATTTCCTGTTTGGTACCTTACTGGCTTGTTTTGCTTGTATGACCGCCATTGTGGAAAACGACTTGTGAAGATGGACCAGCTAGAAGAGCGAGGTGCGCGAGAACACGGACCCTTTTTCCACCTGGACCTCCACTCTTTTTTTTCTTCCTCATCGTCCCTCCGTTGTCGCGTTTTTCCACTTCCTCACCGCCTCGGCTGTATCTAGACCCACAGCTAGTTCGTGATTGTCCCTCTTGCGTTGTGGCGTGGAATAACATAGCGCAGACCACGCTTTAATATTCAATATCAATCAATTAAAAATATCTGCGTCATACCTGCGACCATCTCACTGTGACACACTGCTGCGGGAGTATAATCAGCCCTTAAAGATGGCCTTTAGGGACGCTAAACCTGCAAGTTACTGGTCTGCAATGTTACACAGGCCATGGATGAAATTTCAGAAGTTTGGGCCACGCAAGTATTTTTAATATAACTAACTTCAGGGTGTTTGACCGTCCCATCACAGATCCATTCAGTGGCGCATCAGATGTTTGTGAAGTGAGCATCTCAGGAGTGACAGCAGTGACAGCCGATCACACAAGAAAAGATGGAGGGGCCAATCAGGAGCTTGTGGGGGGTAAAAACTAAGGGAAGTGGACAACTGTAGTGTAACATTGGTATTAGAAAGTAAAAAGGGCAGGGGAACAAAACGGACATTTGAAAAGTGCAAGTCCCCCCATCTCCTCCCCCTCAAAATTACGTCTATGACACGGGTGTGTCCGAATGTCCGGCCTAACCCCTAAATCCCTCAATCACTATTAAAGAGAGGGGACTATATAGTGGACTTTATAGCAAACTCAGTTAACTGACTGTTTGGACAGATGATCACTATTTTTCACTCCCTGTTGGTCACATGACTCAGCTTCTCTGCACGGTGCCTGCAATACTTTTCAAGGTGCATTGTGGGAAATTTCAAGTTCACTACCTCTTCATCAACTAGATGTCTGGACACTCATTTAAAATGGCGTAACCAATACATAGTTCCATATATAGTGATTAGGGTGGACGTTTGGACAGTGCCTTAGTCTTCCTTTAATAAGAGGAAACCAGGTACCTCCTTTTAGGGGGCAGTATTACGCTTATTTACCACCAGAGAAAGGTAGACTCCCCTCTTCAGGGCAGTGGAGAATCTTTGTCTCAAGAGGCGTTCAAGTATCTCAGGGTAATCTTCACGAGTGAGAGACGGTTGGAGCGTGAGATCGATAGACGGATCTGAGGGAGCTGAGTCGGGGAGCAAAGCTCTTGATTTACCGATCGATCTACGTTCCCA